CGCCGATGCTTTTGCGGAGCACCCGGGCCACGTCTCCCTCGGTCCAGGGGAACTCCTCCAGCTCCGGGAGCCGCGGGCAGCGCGAGAAGAGATCGGCCACTTCGGGATCCTCGGGCAGCACTGTGTTCACCGTATCCCAGCTGTTGTGGCGGCTGTTCATGGAGCCGGAGTAGCACCACCAAGCTGCCCCGCGGTGCTGCTGCGCCGAAGAGTTGAGCGCCTGCGAGTTGGACTTGGAAGACGAGAGGCTGAGCGAGCGGCAGGAGTCGCCGGCCCCATACCCAGAGTCCAAGGTCAAGTCCTCCAGTGTCTTCAGTGTGGAGCTGTACGTCCCGGCCATGGGGAGCCTCCGCGCGCGGCCTCGCCGAGCGAGGGGCTCTCAGTGTTCCATGCCCACTTGCCCCGGATTGGGGGGCGGAAACCAGCTCTAGGCTCTGGGAGGCGCCCTCCGTACTCGCCGCGCCCCTCGGGGCCGCAGCATCGCCCGCGCACGGGCCGCGGGAAGGTAGGCGAAGCTCCGGGCGAGCCGGAGCCCAACGCAATCCTCGTCCAGCCGCGCCGCTGTCAGCGAGCGGGCTCCCCCGCGCTCCTCCTCCGCACTGACCCCGCCAGCCCTCAGCTTCCCTTACCGAGTGTCCCGTACAGAGAAAGAATCCCGAGAGAACTGGGCGGTCACCGAAGAGCGAGGCGCCCGAGGTCCGTCCCGGACCAGCCGGTGAGAAAGCGCCCCACAAACTTCTTCGCGACGCGGGCTACCCACACAGATGGGTTCTGGAGGGCGGTCCGCATGCAAATACTCCGGGCGACTCACCAATCATCAGCCGCACCGGAGAAGGGCTGCACCAATGGTTTCCTGGAGGGGCGGGAACTATGCAAATTTCACTCGGCTTCGCATGAAGCCCCTCCGTCCGTCCGGAGACCGCAGACAGGGTGTAGCGGGTGGGTTGAGACTGAGGAGGGGGAGGAACGAGCGAGCGAACTGGCAAGGAGGTGGGGCGCAGAGACCCAGAAAGCAGGAGGAAACCCAGAAAGCAGGCCCCAGGGCTGAGAACTAAACGAAAAGCGAGAAGGAAAAGCCTCTGTGAGTTGTACTTTAATCGCTTTCTAGGCCTGGAACCAGGGCAGGCAGCTAGCTCCTTGTGAAGCTGTACGCAGCCGGGCCTCTCTCAGAAAGTAAGAAAACAGGAGAGACATGATCCACCTTTCTTGTCGATTTTCTACCAAGCCCCTCCTCTTTTCCCAAATGAAAAGCTATTTATGCTTGGAGGAAAGAGGGACGCCTCAGCCTCTCTTCCAAAATCTGTCAGGTTTTGTTTATATTGGCATATTAGGCTCCAGTGGGAACAGAATTTCTAAAGCTGGGATCTGAAAATGGCCCGGCACCAGGAGGCGTGTGGTCACACCCCGGTGTAGGTTCACACTGTTTTCCTAGGATTACCTTGGAGGAGGAGTCCTAATCTAAAGAACGCACGACTTCCCTACTATCTGTGTATTGCCAGGCAGATGCTTTTTGTCCGAGGTGGGAGAGAGCACTCGAGGAGGAGAAAGGTGAGAAGTGAGGACTGGCGCTTGAACAGCTCGCTAGATGCAGGTGTTCCCTTTTAAGGACTTGCTGTACTGATTGATGTGCGGGTAGGCGGGTCATCTAGCCCTCAGGACTCGTTCTCGTAGGTACAGTGAATTGCTGACCTTCCATGAGCGTCGAGTTGCATCCCATGTGTCTGATTTTGCGATTTGCTAGAGAGCTACTGATTGCACAGATCCACGCCCAGCCCACGCACGTCGGGCTGCTGCCCCATAACTGTTCACACGCACGTGCACAAACGTGCATCAGCCCCTTCCAGGAGAACTGCAAAATCAAAGCACTGATTGTGCACACGTTTGTACCAAGTCCGCTTCGCCAGCTCCTGAATGGCTTCTTTGTGCTGTACTTTACAGTTCTGACCTTGGGCCGTGAGTTGGATACGAACTAGAAAAGTCTGGTTTGTCTCTTTCGTTAAATTAATGATCCCTTTCCCGGTGAAACGACTTTTTATTCGGCAGTTTTACTTAATTTTTTTTTTTTTCCTTTCCTGAGCTATATGAGACATCGGTTAGAATTGGGAACAGAGTCAAGGATGGAAGTACTGTGCAAGGCACAAGCAGCCATCAAGTTAACAGAGTCACACTTTATAGAGGCGAGATCAGAAGTCAAATTAAGAGGTTCAACTTGCGAGAAAATACGAAAACATTTGATGGATTTAATGCTCATTAAGAGAATATAATAAAGGAAATTTCGCCCTCTAGTGGATATCTAGAGGAATTAAAATTATTATTATTTTCTTTGTTCATTTTCTTAAAACATAAAGGGAATTACTTGACTGAAAAGGTACTTTAACTAAAAGGGTGATTTGGAGTGTTTCTTACACAAAACATGAGAGATTTGTATTAATGTATTTAAATAGCTTGAGGACTTAAAATGTAAAGATAAACATTACCAAACTGGACATAGGTGTTGTTGTTCATGCCTGTAACTTAGGACTCGGGCAATGAGGCAGAAGGACCTCCAGGAGTTTGAAGCCATCCTACGCTACAAAGTGGGAAAACCCAAAGGAGGAAAAAGAGATAAACATGCTTAGAGTGAAATCCAGGGTCTCATGGATGTTAAACTGCCCCACAAGGATTCTAGACAAATAACTGGATTTCTTTAATGGATAGCAAGGAAATCAAGAGAAGGAAGAGAAACCCTACACATTAAAAGATACTCAGAAGACAGATCAACTGATCACAAGCTATAGAACTTTCTTAGGTTTTGATTTAAAAATTAATAAGCTCTGGGCCAGAGAAGTAGCTCAGCACTTAAGAGTCCATTCTACTTTGCAGAGGACCCAAGTTCAATTCCCAACACTCACATTAGATAGCCCATAACTCCAGCATCTCTGGCCTTACAAGCACCTAAACACACACACACACACACACACACACACACACCTGGACCTAGGATTGCCCATGCCAACAACAGTCATACAAGGGAAGAAGCTTCAAGTAATCCTTGGGAATGTTGCCATAGGTGAAGTCTTCTATTTCGTTGTTTAAAACATAATTTTAAAAAAATCTGGAGATTAGAGTACAAAATACCCTCAAATTTATCGTGAAAGTGAGGGGATTATAATCTGAGCTATCTAAATATGAATCCAAATGTCTTTTGAGAAAGGTAGATCATGGCCTGAGCTTTGGAGAGTTGCAAAGTTTTGGGGATCATCATTGGCTAGCGTAGCAGTTGTATTAACTTCTGTGTCCTCTTGACTAGGTGAGTGTGAGTGTAAAGTTGGAATCCAATAGATATTAGGTAGGTGAATGAAAAGAATAGGAGGAGTGGGACAATTTACCACAAAGCCTGGCTGCTTAAGTTCACAGGAAACCTCTTGACCTCTCCTATACTTAAGAATTTGTGTCAAGGAGAGTGAGGCTGATATCTGAACTGAGGTTTGTCTGCCCCTCTTTTCCTCTACCGAGTTCAGGATGGCTCCATGCTCCCTGCCTGTATTGGAAAGGGATTCCTAACCAATGACTTAGGAATTATAGATGGGATCTCAAGAGGAAGGGTTTGCAAGCCACCTACAATTGCCTAAAACCTTTTAAGTGAGTACCAGTTGGAATTGTTCTGGATAAAGTAGGCATATGTAGTTACTGTCCAATAGAACTTTCTGCAATAATGAAAATGTCCTGTCTGCCCTGTCCAGTGCAACAAGTCACTAACCACAATTTAACTTTAATTGATTTAGTTGATCTCTAAGGCTCATTGGCCCCTTTGAGATTTCATAAAGACTATGGACCCATGCTCTCAGCTGAATCCAAAGTTAAAAGTAAATCAATTAACAGTAAAGACACTCTGAGACCTTTATATAGAGACACAGCTTCTGTGCACACACACACAAAGGACTCAGGAAAGTTGGAGATGGTGACCCATATTGAGAGTGATGGCTCAGATTCCAGAAACCAAGCCTATGGGGACTTGACAGTGCTGCGACGAGGTGGCTGGTAACAAGTGGCTTTCAGAATGACTGTTATGACTTCATGTGGTAAAACTCTGGCATAAGGGAAAGAAGGAAGGACAGGGATCTAGTTATGGTCACTAGGGGTTCATGACAGAACTGGCCACCAGTTTTTAGAGCAAGGACAAAAGTAGCAAGCAATGTGACCTCATATCTCTAAATGGCTACGATGAGTCTCCCTGGCTGTCTTTGGATAGGTGGCGGGCTTGGTCCTAGAATATAAGGTGAGGTGAGCTTGGGCTTGTGCTGTGCTAATTGCTATGGTTAGAGACTCAGCCAAGAGGGAAACCGCCCTCATTCCACCATGATTGCCTCCCACTACACGCCTGAAAATGGGTGATCATTTAACTTCGTGCCTTTCAAACTGCTTAGTTGAGAAATTATTTTTCCAGTCTTACACAGAACATAATGTGAGTAACAAAAAAAGCAGAGGGGTTGCTGTGGGGATGAAGTGGAGAATGTAGAGCCACTCATTCCCAATCGCTCAAGTGTTAGACAGCCTTTGAGGACCCTTGTCGGAGTCTTGCAGACTATGAGAAAATGGCCAACATAGAGCCACTTTGTCTGCTCTGATTCCACACCCCGGTTAGTGCACCTAGGGGAGAGATGGTGAATAGAGAAAAACATCTTCTCCAGAAACAAGGAGAGAAGGCCAGGGCAATAGGTGGAAAAGGGTACACGATTAGCAAAGAAGTTTTGTTGTTGAAAGAACCAGAACTGCAGAAACTGCTTTTATGTTAGGAAGCCCAGATAAA